CATCTGCAGTTCACAACACCATTGATTCTACAGTATGACAATCTGTAGATTGTCTGTGACTCTTTGTATTAATTCATTCATAGTCACCATTTTATTGTTGCATTCTGTACACAGCCAACCCAATGTGTCTGTTCTGAGCTATCGGGACAGTGCTATTCAGAGGAAAGTGGCATAGTGACATAGCCTACAATTGGAGGGAATCGGCACTGAGGTTTTTCATTGGTTTGGGTTAGAAATTTTAAAAATGTAATAAATATAGTGACACTAATGAGTACATACAACAGTAAAAGTTATCTGTATTTTTTATTGCATTTTAATTCAAGCTAAACGTAATTACACAGGACTGCAAAATCAAAGGTGACACTCCACCTTCTGGTCATTGGAAGGTATTACTCCCCCCACAGGTACTTCGTACCTTTCATGACTCAGCAAAAGACAAAATGCATTTCATGGTTCCACAAAAGCATTGCATGATTCCACAGAAAGAACAAGATGACTTCCTTTCACTCACAAATTGCATCTTGTACATGACTGATTTTATTTAGCTGACAAAATGCATTTTGTCCGCAAAATGACTTTCTTTCACTTATGAAATGCATTTTGTAGACAAAATTAATTTATTTGGTTTACAAAATGCATTTTCTGAACGAAATGATTTTCTTTTTATTCATGACAGCAGATCCATTCAGCCTTCTGTCCGTGAAATCAAAATGAAACATTAATTTCGATTTCTGTACACGAAAGAAAGTGAAGTCTACACTTTTGAAGACAAAATGCAGTGAAGCATTACTTGATTTCGCCATTAAATAATGCTTTTTGTGCACAGAATGTATTTTCTGCATGAAAATAAGCGCTTGACATTGGTCACCCCATAGTCTACCACCGCCACGGTATGTGGGCAGTTCTGAGGGCAGTTCTGTGGGCAGCTCTGAGGGCAGTTCTGTGGGCAGTTCTGAAGCCAGCCTTGTGTGTGAGGTTTGCATGTTCTCTTCTCTGCCCATGTGGTTCCCTTTTTGGATTTTCTAGGCCCACATTGAAAAAAGCATGCAGTGATAAAAAAAGTATTAGAAATTTCCAGTAAGGATTAAGTGTGTGCCCTGCAACGAATGCACATCCTCTATGGGATGTGCCCTGTGCTGCCTGATAGAGGCTTCAAGATCAACATAACTTTTATGGTAGAGAAGAAGTTATGGAAGATGGAAGGAATTAAAAAAATTATATTATTGTGCATTTTGATTATAGCTCTACATTTTTGTGAGCAGTAATGATGTCATGAATTGCCTTGAGACTAACTTTTAAGGAGTTGGCTGATCATTCCGGTCATTCTTTCATTTATTTTTGACTTGCCCTTTGAACCTCTGCGCAATCCCTCTTTCAAAACAAGCCAACACAGACCAACCACACACAGCATCCGTAACAGCAAGGTCAGCAGAAACGTATGAATAAGAATGTGGTTTGAATGAGAGAAGCTGGTTAGTGCCCAGTGGCCATACACATCAGAAGCATATGGCTGGTTGTGAGGAAGATGTTGTCCAATCTGGCATCCTGGAATGAAGTTGGTTGCATAGCTGATATCTCTGCATTCTGTTGAGCCAAACTAGTTACAATCCTAGTTGTGAACATTAAAACAATAAAATATAAGCACCTACCTAATTTGATTGGCACAACACCACTGGATGGATGAATGGATGCTTTTTATGTTACTTTTGCTAGGAACCCTGGGGCCAGAATATACTGAGTGTTGGATTACTTGCTTAGCCGGATAGCTTGTCGGATTTAATGTTCAGCCCAGTCTACCTTAAATCCGACAAGTAAAAAATCCTGCTTCGTGATACAGACCCCCGATCTCCTATTACTGTTCAACCCAGTTGTTACTTAAACAATGACTTACTTTAGCAAATACTCACTAAAATAATGACTTACTCTGTTAAACAAGCTTAGACTGCAGCTCAAAGTGCTGTTGGGTAACGTGCTACTCGGTTAGAGTAAATTATTTCATTTAGGTATGAATGCGGAGGAGGGGAGCCTGTCAGTCCTCCTGCAGATGGGTGTCCATACTTCTGGTTGCAGTGTAATGTTTATCCCCATCCTGCTAATTTTATTTCCTCACATTCCTCCTCCTTCCCTAATTCAACCATTTAATTTTACATCCCCGGATAGAGATTCTGGCTCAATCAACACTGAGTTGTTGTTTTTTTTTGTGGCATAAACAATGCATCCCTCAGGGAGCAAGAACATTTCACAAGGCTACTCTTGCATCCACCCAACTCCAAATTGGTATGAAAAACCAAAGTCTCGCCCAGATGATGCTCACTTAGTACCCTTAGCCCATCCCGCTGCTGACATCGTGTGGGAGGCACTGACAATGACAACACACCATGGTTTTTATTCTTTTGGGAAGCCACTGCAGCCTGTAATTAAGACGACCGCACCACGTTGGTTCCTGCAGGAACATTGCACTATGGTGTAGAGTGTATGTTTGTGTCATAAGAGGCTGCCCTCCCCAGGGACGAAAGTGTGGTAGTTTTTTTTTTTTGTAGTGACTCAGTAGTAAATAGGTCGTTAGGGATGGCTATTTATATTACCTTGTTTTCATCTGGCTAGACCTTTAGCTACTGTAAGTAGCTGAATTGGCATAGCTAACAGACAATGACATACATAAGCAAACAGTACGTGTTAAATACATATAATTCACTATGACTGTAAATTGTTGTTAAAGGACCAGAGTGTAGCCGACACATACAGTTCATGCTAGTTAATATTTCTAAAGTAATAATCAGAGTCAGAATCAGAATTAATTTTATTGGTACAACTGCTTGTACTAGGGCTGTGTTTTGACAGTGTTGATGCTTACATTCACTGAGGGCAGAACATAAATGACAAAGTTGTGTTGTGGGGACCAAGCTTTTCATAGACTGTGAAGTTTTAGAATAAAATGACACTTCAGTACCTCAGAATAAAACATTGTCCTGTGCAAACCAAGTGAAGACAGGGTTTGGGCTGTGCTGGTGTCCCTGTGGTTCTGATTCTGTCCACATTCTATGTCTGTGCATTTTCTGTTTTTTTTTTTCTTGCAGTCCAAAGACATGCTGCTTGGTGAAGTGGCATATCTAAATTACCCATAGCGTGTTATGCGTGTGTATGTGTGTGAATGTGCATGTGTGTGTGTGTGTGTGCGTGTGTGTGTGTGCCCTGCAATTTGTATTATGCTGCTTGGGGTAGGTTTCATTACGCTCATAAGTTTGTATTGGATAAACAGTTGAAAGCTGGATGGGTGGATGCATGGGCGGAAATTATGGGGGGGTTGGGGGTTAAAACCCCCCCCCCCCACCTCCCCAATAATCAAAACCAGCCAATACAACCCCCTGGACCTCCTTAAATGGGTGGCAACCTCAACCCCCCAATGCTCAACCCAAAGTTACGGCCTTGGATGGATGGTACATCCATAGAATCCTCTGCCTTCACAGGAAGTGTTTTAACAACACTGCTGCTGCTTGTTCACAGAAGGAAGGCCTACTGTACAGCAGTCTTGTCACCCCCTGGAGGATCAGACACCCTTGAAGGCTGTGACGGCCTGGTCCCCTGTCTGACTGGATTTTCATGTGCGTCTGTAGAGTTACTGCTATGAGGATGAGTGTCCATCTTATCCTCAGGGGTTCTAACTCCATTGCTCTGAATCCCCCTTGAATTTCATCTCTCATCTTCCAGTAGCTTCTACCTTTCATACAAAAGAGGTTTCTGTGAGGTCAGCACCAGGCCAGATGAGGAGAGGCTGCGGCCACAGTGGCATTACAGCATTATGTAATATCACAGTTCCTTTTAAAGGCTGATATTAATATCCAGCATCCAGCTCTTTCACAAAAATTACAACTTAATCTTTTAGTAAGCATAATTTGATGCACAAGCAAATGCTTTGCACTAGGTGTGTAGTTCGGACTGGTATTTGAAAAACATTAACCTATGTAATCTAGTGTGTAATTTGTCATTTTGAACCATGAGTGTTCTTTTATTAGTGGTCCAAATCTACTTTAGAAGTGGTATTTAATATTAAATTATTCATTACATAAAAATGTACAGGTCACCAATCAGACTAAACTCGTAGCTATTGTGAATAATAACAGATAACATTGAAACTTTGAGCTGAGGTGGTTAGTCAGACTCTACAATCATGTTAAAACAAGAAGCTTGTGAATCACTATTGCATACAGTCGAAAGCTTCATGCTGGATGCCCATACACTAACAGCTTAATTTTTTTTTATGTGTCTGTATTTCATGCACTCTACAGCCACAAGGATTTTTCCCTCAAAAAGACTCTTTGAAAAGGCTATTCTGCATTGTCATTGCAGCTGGTGATGTCACAGTCAGTGCTGTCACAATGGTCAATACTAACCAGTTCAGAAGACCCTCTGATAACGGCGTCTAACTTTAGCGTGTAGCAGGTTTAGTGCAAAACACAGGAAGTTGTGATAAGTTTCATTGATATCAGAGCGAGCCAGTCAGAAACATGAGAATGAGAGGCCAATAGGGAGCATCGGACCTCTTCCTGTGTAGCATTTTATCTGGGCCTGCCGTGTGCTGTTATCCTGCATGGAAGAAACTGAGGCTGGCGTTCCCAGCCAAGCTCGCAAAGACAGTACAGTTAACAGACGCACATGGGTAGAAGGAAATGACAGAGTTAATCCTGCAGGCTAGAGATCTGGGTTTTGCAAAGGCAAACAGTTTGAAAAAATATAGCTCGTGGTGATAAGGCAAGTGACAAATGCGAAAATGATGATAAGCTTTTTTTAACGAAAAAAAAAAAGTTGTCAAAGCAGAAACTAAGCCAGAAATACAGCCCTTAACATCAGCACCAACCCATGACTTGGTCAGCGCACTTTGGGTGAGCTGGATTTCATCACCTGTAGCGTTTGCAGGCAAAAAGGCTGGCAACGAAGCACTCGTTATATTTTGTTTTCTAATCATTCTGAAATTGCCGTCCCTCCCATCCTCATTCCCCAAGGTCACGGCAAGTGTTCCTGTGGCTTCTGCCAGTGTGATGCCGACTGGAAAGGTGAGAACTGCAACTGCTCCACACGCACAGACACCTGCATGTCCAGCTTGGGCCTCCTGTGCAGTGGCCGTGGCCAGTGTCTCTGCGGCAGCTGCGACTGCACCCAACCAGGTGCCTACGGAGCCACCTGCGACAAATGCCCCACCTGCCCCGATGCCTGTACCCTCAAAAAGTGAGTCCTCAGCCTGTTGCCTATGATGGGGGGGGGGGGGTATAAGAGCACCAACACAGTGCATCATTCTTCCCTGTAACTTCCTCAAAAACATCTCCTACCCACGATGCTGCTCTGAGACGACCCAGCTACCCTGACTACCCTCCAGTGAGGACTTGACACATGTTGGGTTTATGCCAAAATCATTCCTTCTCCATAAGGAAGCATTTAATTTTTGTCTGTCACTAAATTAAATGAATTGAAGCTTTATTTGCCATTTGCACAAGTATAATTGGAATGCTTCAGATATGCCGTCTGTTCTACTTTGAGACATACACACGGATACACAGTTGATTGGAAAGCAGGGGGCCGAGCACAGGGTCAGGCCATTTGTCCAGCACCCCTGAAACATTTCTGGGGGGTTAAGGGCCTTGGTCAATGGCCCAGCGTACTTGTGACTGTGGAGGATGGCATTTGAATTGGCGACCATCTGATGACAGGAACACAGACCTAACTCTCTGAGCCTCCAGCCACCACCACCAGCCCCCCACCACCATAACAGTGTCTCCTTAAATTAATGTTTCTTTGAAAGGTGCTTGCCTGTACAATTTTTCCGAATTTATACTGCTGAATGATTTTACTGTAGCAGCTCAGGTTTAAGTATTTTTCTCAAGGGTAGCACAATAACTGCAACCTATCAATGTTGAGACGCGGTCAGTGACTGGATCTGATTGGACGGCTATGGTGTCCGTTGATGAGGACGACACAGGCCAGGAAAACTGACGGCTATGTTGGTCACAGGGAATGTGTGGAGTGCAAGCACTTCAAAAGAGGGAAGCTCTTAGATGAGGGCACCTGTGGTCGGATCTGTCGGGATGAGATCGAGCTGGTGGAGGATTTAGGTGAGTGGAATGCTGCAAATTCCATCCTGGAACGTCATTAGATCATCAGTACATTGCCCAATTTGATTTTAAGCCCTTAGTTTTTCTTACACTCTTTTGATTCGTGGTATTAAGCATGACATTACTTGTCAGGTCCAAGGATGCCATATATCGTTAAACTAATTATTTCACAATGATTATTACCTTGAGATTTCATTGCACCATACAGAAACTTTCATTTTCCCAATGTAATTTTTTAGGAAACATCTCAAATATGTTTATATCTTCATTTTTGTATCAAAACTATATTTTTAAAAATGTGGGATTTTCTCTGGCCTCTTTAAGAATAACCCTGTGTTTGTGGCCTCAGTACTCACCCCTGGCTCCATTCATGAGCCCATAAACTTAATTAAAGGCTGAATGTGCCTCAGGACAAAGTGTATGGTCGCACTGGCTTTATATAAATGAGTTGTTCTTGCCGCATTTTCTGTTAATGGTCTGTCTGGGTTCCCTGGGGTGTTAAACAGAGGCTGTTGTGGGCGTGGAGCTTCTAGACTTCTCTGGTAACGTCCAAAACGTTCTGCTGTCTCCCACCTTCCCCCTGTCCACTCCTCATTCTCCTCTCCTGCCCGCTTTCCTCTCCTTCAGTTTTCCATGACAAAAATGCTGTGAACTGCACATATAAAGATGAGAACGACTGTGTAGAGCGGTTCCAGTACTACGAGGATGCCAGCGGAAAGTCCATCTTGTTTGTGGTCAAGGAGCCAGGTAGAGTGTCTCTCTGTGTCCCTCTTATGCACATACCAGCACACACACCATCATACACACACCATCATACACACACTATCACACACAGTGTGCATCATCCCACGGATGAGATCGTGTTTAAATTTCTAGCACTGAAATGTATCTTCAAACATCCTGGACCCCTCCCACCCTGGGTCCATAATATACCCCCCCACACACTCAGTGTAGTGCCAAAATCTACTGTCCCAGCAGGAGCAAACTGCTTGTTAAACCTACAAGTTCAGAGTAAAATTGAGCAGGAAGAGGGGGCGGAGCCAGGCCAATAAGACACTCTCACCAAAAGAACACTTAGCCTGCAAAAAGTCTTTAAGCACTACAGTATCACTTCCAGTTCCTATATCCTGTATAGAAAACAGTGAAACTCATAATATTTTTTTCACAAATATTGGCAGCACAGTGTTTATGCAGCACAGTGAAAGCACTGTAACTTCTTATGGAAGTTATATAATCTGTGATATAAAACAAAACATGCTATAATCCCGATTATTTAATAGGTGTCTTCAGATATAGAATTCATAGAGACTTAATGTGGCCTTTTTTTTGTATTTTGACAGTTTCTGAAGATAAAGATTTTCTACTTGGACTTGTGCACTGCTTTGGGTTTTCTCATAGAAATGCCAGCCCTGTATTTTAGCAAATGGTCTGCATTTCAACTTTAATTTCTCTAGTCTAATGCTTAACTCCCCCCCCATCCAATTAAGCCGGAGGTAAAAGTCAGTTAGGGTTGAACCAGAAGCAGTTCCTGCGGAGAGAATCTGTAAGGCAGACCCCCCTAATGGGCCCACATGTGGAATCCGGCCTAGGCTAAGCAGAACAGAGGCAGAGCCTTGAGGAAAGAACACCTCCCTTTGTAAAACAGCAGTAAATGGCATCTCAGCTTCTGGGTGTCTAGCTGACATGGCACACACCACCATCGGTGATCCGCGGAGGGGGAGGGAGGGGAAGGGAGAAATGTAAACAAGGAAAACATGGTTCCACTTAGATACTCTTGATGACTGTGGAGGGAAGTGAAGACAAAAGCAAAAGCAACTCCCTCCCAGTTTTTACGATCCATCTGACCAAAGGGTTCACTTCTGAGTGCCATCAAATGACTTGAGGTCAGTACCAAGAATAAGATGCCATTTGACTGAGAATTGTGGACCCTCCCCCTGCCTTGCAGACTGCCCTAAGGGGCCCGACATCCTGGTGGTGCTGCTGTCCGTGGCGGGGGCTATCCTCTTCCTGGGCCTGGCGGCACTGCTCGTTTGGAAGCTGCTGGTCACCATCCACGACCGGCGCGAGTTTGCTAAGTTTGAGGAGGAGCGGAGCCGCGCCAAGTGGGATGCGGTGAGAGAACGGCCGATTGAGCGAATGAGACTGTGCCACGTGGAAATCCACCTAAGCAAGAGCACACAACTTGCTCTGGAACACCTACGTCTATGCAAATACCAGTGGTGTGTGACCCTGCAGGTTAGGACTCATGGTGCCCAGGACTGGAAGGTTACTGGTTGATATCCCATGTCTGGTAGAGCAGTGCTGCCATTGGACACTGAAGCAAGATCCTTAACCTCAATTACTCCAGGGGTTCTAGACATTGGCTGACCCTGCACTGTGACACTAGAATCCTTGCTCTCACCTGTATGTGTGTCTGTATGTCTCTTGGAGAGAGAGAAGGGATAGATGGAAAATGACCCAATATCCCCAAGGGGATGAATATGTACACATAGTATTTCAATAATTTTACTCTAGACTCTTTATTTTATTTTACTCTTTGAATGCACATTCAAAGCAAATTATTTATATATCAAACAAAAAGCATTACACACATACAGTGAAACAAGACAGTGATTTAAGCAAACAAGGGAATTTTGCTGTGGAACCCCAAACGTGTGGTTTAATAAAGGATATACTGTACAAAACAGCATCTGTAACATTTAAAGTAGCCTACACTTTTAAAACAAAGCAAAATAAATAAATGTACCAAAGTTTATCCAAACTACATCCAAAATATATTTTTCAAATTAAACTATTGTTGTGTTTTGTTGTAAACCATGAGGAGACGGGAGATGTGGGAGGAAGTCTGGACAGTACGGCTAACCATGTTTCACAAACAAAATCGTGCCTATTCTTAAGGGATCAAAAGCTTGTTTTATATTAGGCAATGCTAATTAGGATTTCCTGCTAACCAGAACTGTTTGTTTTATGCTGATTTCCTCACATTCAGCAGCATCTTGTGAAACATATCTGGATTTCTCTGTAACAGGTTCTTTCGTAGGTAAACCTGGCTAATCTTTTTAACGTAAAGATGCTCTCGTGAATTTGTGCTAAAATAAGCACACAGATTAATTGCAATCATGTTAGAAATGACTGTAGACCTTTCTGTTTTTTCAGGGTAACAATCCACTCTACAAAGGAGCCACCTCTACCTTCACTAATGTGACCTACCGTGGCAAAGACTGACACTGACACTGGTCCGGAGCAAAAATGTTCCAGCAAAACTCAGGGGTCAAAAAGGTGAAGGTTTCAGGATGGGGAGACTTATACTGTTTTTGAGCTTCTTTTATTCTGCTGTGTTTTGTGTGCAGACTCTACCGTCGCAGGACAGAATAACTTAATATTTTCAGCAATTGTAAATATGTATGATAATTTAAAGAGCAGAATTATATTAGGACTAGTGACACGTGAATTACAGGCTCACTACTGGCCACACCCCTCTATCTTTTCCATTTTTTCAAACAGCAACATTCAACCTGGTGATGAACTATGGGAAAGAATCTCATGTTCACCCTTTGCTGTAGGATTCTGTCGTAACAAGCATAAGGGCAGACAGTTATTTTAGAAAAGGAAAATCCCTCCATCACTAACGTCCAGTTTCACAAATTAATGCAGAACATATATCCCCTACACACATCACAAAACATAGAAAACATAGTTTCATTCTTACTTGTACATTTATACGTTTCGAGATGTAGGTATGTACAATTTAGGCCATGAATCCAGAGAAACTGTGTTTGCCGGTCACTGATTGAAAGTCAAGAGTCTTCAATCTTAATAAGATATCGATCAGCGTCAAATATTTGAATAGTTTGGAAATAAAAATAAATTAACCCAGAAAGGAAATTTTTTAACTTATCAATGATAAATTACTTGTTTAACAAGTCATACCATGTCACACTACAATGTTGGGCGTGAACATCTACAAACACCTTAAGAAATTAAACAGACGGATTGAGATGTTTCATAACTACAGCCCCAGAAAAAATTAAGAGACCACAGCACAATTTCTTGGTTTCACTCATTTCTCAATGTATGGGTGTGCATCTGAGAATAATATATTTTTTTTTGCAAACTGGTTCTTCCCTGTTTCTCATTAATGAAGGGCTTCTTCCTTGCTTCGTGGGTTTTTGGTCCTGCTTCTAGGAGCCTGATACACACTGTCTTAGCAGTGCACTTCAGACCTGCACTTAACGTTTCCCATTCCTGCTGAAGGTGATTTGATGTCATCCTTCCATTCGTCAGAAACCGTCAGATAAGTTGACAGTCATCTCTGGCATTTGAATGTTGCTTCCGCCCTTGACTTGGCTGGTTTCTGGTCGTTCCCAGTGTCTCCTGCTTCACCTTATTCTTGTGTACTGCTGTCTTAGAAATGTTGAACCTGGAAGCAACCTGCTGCTCAGCACAGCCTCCTGCCAGCAGAACCAGGATTACCCGGGATTTTAAAAAGCAGATTTAAAAAAAATATAGAGTGGTCTCTTCATTTTTTCTGCAGCTATGTATATTTTTTGAGTGTGTGCACGCATACATACAGACTACTACGAAGGATTTTCAACAAATGTAAATTTGTTGATTCTCCTATCCTGAAGACACATAGTTCTTCCAGGAATTATCTTTACTGGTAATCTGTTATATTTTCAGGGACAAGACTGTGCCACTTTAATTACAATAAAGGCATTACAGCCAAGGTGTTTAATTTTATTTAAGCATTTAATATTACTGATCTCCAAGAACATCAGAGAGAGTACCCATTGAGAATTTATTTTAAAATAACTAATGCAATATTGATTTTTTAATTATTTGTCTTGTGTTGCCTTTGTGGTTTTGGCTTAATTAGGCACAAAATCCTGCAAATATCCCCGGCATCTTTCCTGCCCTGTTTTTGCCTTCTGTAAAGCGATTGGATCTTAGGGAATAGGCATAAATGCAATTTTTTTTATTTATTTCTGATTTTAATTACTTCATACTGAGCAAAATACTGTAAATCTGAAGACTGTTGCGAGGGCTGAGAAGTATTATTTTCTGCTTTCTGGCTGTTTACATTCATGTTACCCCCACAGAGACATCTGAAATAAAATGGTTGGAATTAAAGTAAGGAAATGAGGCTAATCTTTGTAGATTTGCTGCCCCAAACAACAATTCAGCTGGCTATGTGTAAAAATAACATGGTACACCCATCTACACAGTGAAATATCAGTGCGAGTGGAAGCTCACTGTTGAACTCTGCTGCCACCCTCTGGGATGAATGTACATTTCAAACTCTGTCCTTAGTTCCCGCTGATGCTGAACTGTTCAAATACACCCCATCTTCTAAGACATATTAAAAGTATAAGAAATATAAATACATATTACAAATAAATAATATAGAGAAAGTAAGGTAACATTTCACTTAAAGCAGTCATCATAATGAATTACAGATACCTTATGATGCATTAATAAAGTATTATAAACGCGGCTATAACTGTTTGTAAAGGCATGACAGATTATAGTCATGTTTATTACGCATTATGAATGCTCTATTAAGCTCTCATCTATAATGCACAATAGATATGTTCGTAATGCATTACAGTATAATGTCAGCCGTGTTTATGAAACTTTATGATTGCATTATAATGCATTATGCATGACTACTTTAAGGGAAGTGTTACCAAAAGGAATAATAGTCATATTGTTCCTAGGCTGTAAAACTTCATACGGTGCCTTATAAGATATACATAATGCTAAGTTTGTTCTTTTCCAAATACACATATGCTTAAACCTTTCACAGAGCCACAAAGACACACTTCTTTTAAATGATATTAATAAAAATGAATAAAAAAAGAAATGTAAAGATATAGAAACATTTAACTCTTATGGGTCAATTAGAGAAATAATGTTTTTTTTGCAACTGAACCCAAAATGTAACAATAATCTATACATAAAAAGGTCAGATACATACTGCTATTCTATTTCAGTACCATTCGAAATTAAGTTATATATATTAAAACCAAACAAAATGCATTACACACATGGAACCCTGGTGGAGGCTAGAACCCAGGACTCAGTGGTGTGAGGTGACAGAACCGACCGCTGCACCATTGCACCTCCCAGTGGCAATCATCTCTTCTAATAATAAAAAAAATCTAGACATTCAAAAGCAAAACCAATAAATGAAAATCAATAAAATTTTGGGGAAAAAATGTAGGACATTACGGTAGCGAGTTTCCTTACGCAGTCCAAAGGCAAGCAGTTTGGCATCTCTAAATTGCCCCTGGCACGTCTGCGTGTGAGTGTCTGCATGTAGGTTCCCTGTAATGGACTATCCAGCATGGGATAGGCTCCACTCCCTGCCCCCCAAGTCTCTGTTCAGAATAAGCAGTTGAAGATGGATGGAAATAATACAGACATATGACCTGCATAAATATGCAAGTGAAAGCTAAGTAATGTCATGCATTTCGCAGAGTACAATCTGTTTCTGTGCACTGGATCAGATGGAAAATAAATCCATCTTTCATCAATGCTTATCCCATAATAAGTCGTGGTGACCCTGCAGCCTATCTGAGCAAGCGGAAGACATAAGCCAGGCCACCCTGCCCGGGGTAGCCCTCACCCGTACATTGACACATACACTATAGGGACTCGTGCAAGCTGGGGCTAGATATTGAACTGTTAAATGTTCAGGAATTATTAAAGTAGGGGAGGCACAGTGGCTCAAAGAGGAGGTCGGCTACCTCACACCCCCAGAATCAGGCATCTGAATCCTATCCCAGTTCTTTGTGTGTGGAGTTTGCATGTTCTCTGCATGAACGCCCAGCTTTCATTTCACGAGTGCTAAATTATCTCTAAATTGCCAGTGTGTGTGTGTGTGTGTGCGCACGCCTTGTGATGTGACTTCCTCTCCAGGATGTACCTGAGCCCCGTGTTACTTAGGATAGACACCAGGCTTATAGCAGCATTGTACTGAATAAACAGCTGGAAGTTGGTTATAATATAGTCACAAGAACACAACAAGAAAAACCACACTGTTCTTATCGCATACAAAAAGCAGATGCATGCTTTGGAAGCAGAATGAGAGAATTGCCCCTTTAAATGTTTGTCTTGTAATAGTTTATCGGAATAGACTGATTTCTGAATGACTTTGCCTATTACTAACTTAACTGTGAAAAATAATCCTTCTGAAGATGCTTTGCTGCAACTTTAAACGTTAACTTTCCCGTAGGACTTAACGGTACGCTTAACTTTTCTACTGCCTCTCCTGAGACAATCTCTAAATTAGTAAAACATGCACCGAATAGTGAAACGTAAATAATCTGTTTCACATGGGTCACCGGTATACGAACCAAGCCTTCGCCCGTTAATATACATCATCATCTCGTTCACGCAAGAGAAGCGAGTGGCACAGGGCAGGCAAATGCAGATTGATGGTCAAGTTTTGGAGGACCCGCTTCACCGGTCTCGCTTTCCAGCGAATCGACTTATTCACGTTGGTCGGGGACAAGCTTCAGTGGGGTAGGGAAAAACACACCCGATACCATGATCTCACGAGACATAATGAGATTTACCGATTGTTGTTTACATTGTTAAAAAATACCCAGAACCGAACCGATCCGATCCGACCCAAATTTACACGCTGTGCTTGCTTGCAAAATGAAATTAATGGGAGACGAGATAATTTCCGCGGCAGCCCGCTGACTGCATGAGTCCATTTTTTTGCATATTGGCCGAAGCAGCTCTGCATCCTTTTAATTTAGGTTAGCGGCTTGGTTGTCGTGTCTCATTCCAAGAAATAGAAGAAAAGGAGGAAGAGGACGAGGAAGAGGAATACGGTCGCGCGGTTTTATTGTAACATGCATCGGATGAACGTCTCGGGGTGATCCCTGCTGTTCATCGCAGGCAGAGACGGGGCCTGATACGGGAGGAAGGCGGATGAGCCCGTGATACTGGCATAGGGCAACGGCGGACGGCGCCAGGCGACGCCGAGGATCTGCGGGCCTCCGCGCGGGCGAGCCGGGCGGCTTTCGGAGAAGGTCGGCCGCGGCCTCCGTGCCCCCGACACGAAAAGAAGGCGAAACGGCGGTGGACTCGGCGGGTGGGCCCCTCTCGTCGGGGTGGGGGAGAGTGGAGCGCCCTGGGCCTCCGGGGAGGAAACGCAGGTATGTTGGGCAGCCGGGCACCTCCGAGATGGGGACGACGTGCTCCTCCATTGTGGACACACTGCAGCGGCAGCCGGGGATTAAATGAATTAGTGAAAAAATCAATTTACACAGAGAAGAGGTGTTTCATGGGTGAGCTCATGTGGTTGGTACATTTTGAGCAATTTCTTTGCGAACAGGTATAAAATATTTGTAGTAAAATAACAAGTTCTCCATCACTCGTGTGTTTACGGATGGTCACCTAACCAGCCGGTAACCCTGCCCGGTAAACCTTTACTCAGGGCATCCGGACCGGGACTTGGTGGCTCACTTATAGAGCCCTGGTTAAACCTAATAACAACAATAATAAACGTGGATCAGACTACAAGTCTTATAGAAATGTCTGGAAATTCATTGGACAGACCTCTCAGATTTACCAGTTGACTCCTTTATTATTTCTCATCCACTAAGACTAAAAGAGAAGATTCATTGTCATTGTCATTGATAGTTTCATCTCATAACGGACCCGTAGGGAAATAATGTCTATCAGATATGTATTTTATCTTTGCTCCTTCCACTTACTTACTTTAATGGTGTTAGAAATGTATATGGAGACAGTTCAGTGTTGAGTATCCATTAGATGTGATTCAGATAGTGATGGTGCGTAAGGAAGGGAGGATGCAGTAAAGCTTTGTTTGTGTACAGTGGTTCATCTCCTGCCCTCTTCTGAACAGCATGCTTCTGAGTAAGACTTAACTTTATATATATAAAAAATGTAGGTGGCTGAACCGTCTTGGTCCTGATTTGTCATTGTGGCCAGGGTTTACTAAGAATCTAAGAGTCAAATTTGGTTTGTTGATTTTTGGCGTGGGCTTTTGGCTTACTATATGTCTAAGTGCCTGTTTTTCTAGCAAGTGGAGTTACTTTGTTTTCCTACCAGATCAGAACTGATACTCTGAGTCTGGCCACAGAGATGTGATTTAGTAATGATTGCTTTCTTGTTCAGCGTCAAAGCCTGCATAGCCTGTTTTGGTCTGTAAAACTTTATTGGGGGGATGTTACAGTCTCCTTTCAAATATGATCACGCAACAGCATAGATGCAACCACGGAATAGTGCCTGAATTATTGCTGCGTCAGATTTTGTGAATTTTTTAATGATTAGTGTATTGGGTAGTAGACATTGTATCGCATCATTACATTGAACTTTATAAAGCACATTACATAATTTGTGTCACAAATACTTCCTAATGTAGCCCCCCTTCCCCCCAGCCTTTCTGCAGATATGATGGAGGAACTGCACAGCCTGGACCCTCGGCGGCAGGAGCTGCTGGAGGCCCGCTTCACAGGAGTCGGCGTGGCTAAGGTCTGGGTCTGTCTCCATCACAGCTGTCTTATCCTTAGGTCATGTAGTTCCTCTTACCTAATAGAAAAGGGTTTTTTTTGTGAATCCGAATCGCTGCTTGTGAGGGGGATGGCTGGCAGTAGCATGGTGGGGGTGGGGAGGGGGTAATGATGGGTTTGGGCAGAATAAGGAAATTCCGGCACAAAGGTTGCCAGGTCCAGAATGTCTGCCACCATAATAATCTCATAGGATGAATTGAGGCTTCGAGCGGTCCCTGTGTCTTCTGCTCTTTGTTGAAAGTGCTGTGAGCGAGTGGCCGTTGATGGGGCGTGAAAGTGAGCACAGTGCCAGAGTCGTGGGCCAGCTGCCAGGCACCGGCGCTGGGCAGCTCGCAGGAAAATGGCGGTTGCGGGATCCCAGCAGGCCGCACGATTCTGACTCGTGTCGCATGAAAACAGGCAGTGGTGGTAAGGCTAGTGCCTGTGTCTGATCCGCGTGTCTACTGTGGAAACCTTGAGGACCCTCTAGTACATCTGGCTTCCATGTTTTTAACTTGTTGATGGCCATGCAGCTAGCAGATTTTTCTCAGGCTAGTTTGTGAAATCTCTCCTTAATGGAAAACGTACCCGTGGTGTTTGTCGTCACCCTTCGCCATGGTGTTTAGTTCACTTGGCAGTTTGTGCTGCACGTGAGATTCGGTTTGCGTCCATTTCAGAAGCCGCGCAGAACTCAGGCCTTAGCTCTCTGTCCTCCATCCTCTGACAGACTCTTCCCAAATATGTTGGTTTTTGTTTACCCCTGTTGCTCTGCTTCATGTGGTGCTGCTGACAGCCTGTTGGAACGTCTTCTGTTGGTGGCATTGAGGTGAAAACTAAGAATCCGATCTGTGAAAGCAGAGGCTTTATAAAACATTTGGACAGGGCAGTGATTAGTTTCAGACCAGTTGCTCCTTTCCAGAAAGTTTCAGTAGCTTTTTGAGCAATGCTCTTCAGATTAGTCATTAAGGTTCTGCAGTTTTGTGTGTAAATGACAACATATCTATTCCTTTTTTGTTTTCCTTTTATTCTATAGGGTCCAGGAAACAACGAGTCATCCAATCACAGTCTGTGCAGCATCGGTTCTCTCAGCGACAAAGAGTTGGAGGTCTGCAAACCTTTTCATGGGGGCTTTCAGGAGCATGCCTGATGTTCGTTGGGTGTGCTATTTCTCTGTAGCTACGCCATGCTAATAATCGTGCCTGGCATCACAGAGATATTTTTGCCCAGCTTAAGCATAGCCTTAAAGCTTTGTTCAAGTTGCGGCATCGTTTTTCTTATACCTGCATTGTTAGTTTGTGTTCTGGATGATTGCAGTGTGTCATCTCGGCCCAGACGATGACATCATTGTGTTTCAAAATTCTTTAGACTCCTGAGAAAAAGCCAAATGACCAGAGAGCAAGGAAACGGAAAGGAGACTCTTACGAAGGCAGTCAAGGCATGTGCCACTTTCGGCTGTGAATTTTGCATAACTCGCATTAATTGGGTTGGGGGGGGGGGCTGCAATCACTCTCCTTTCTGTACCTTTACATGTGTCATCTTTCCCACTTCCAGGAAAAGGTGGAGTGAGGGGACATAAAATCAGTGATTATTTTGAGGTGAATACCCTGAAACAATACCCTATTGTCATGCTGTGTTGCAGGGGGGGGTGGCTTTGTGGTAATGGGGGGGGATATCGAAAAATCATGAAAGAGATACAGTCAGCCTTTGCTCATTGTCAGCCTGTTGCCTTTAACTGAGCAGGCTTGCCTTACTGAGGTACATGTTTGTCTTCTTCCTCATTTCCATTCTTTTTCCTTCTTCATTTCCTTCCTCCTCCTGGACCCCCCCCCCCCCCCACACACACACACACACTTAGTTTGCGGGTGGTAGCGGACCTGGTACCAGTCCCGGTCGCAGTGTCCCACTGGTGGTCCGCTCTTCCCCACAACACTCCCTCTCTAATCCCCCAGTGTTGGTGAGCTCAGACACCTCTTCTCTGAAACTGCTTTTTTCCTGGCTTGATATGTTCACCTTCACTGTTTTGTTACCCCTGCAAAGCTGCCTTCCTCAGCCCAGCACAAAGGACCTATACAAATACTGTCATGGCATAGCATCAGTTGATCTTTTGTGGGAAAAGGGCTTAATTAACAGTAATGTAAGGCTGTTATAGTAATTGTATGGTGCCGGATTTAAATCTGGCCCAAGGCAGTGCTGCCACTGAGCCAATCATCACTGTCCTTGGGATGTGTCTATGCCATAGGTTCAGCAGGGCAGCCCCTCCTCCGTCAGCTCCGCCAACACTGATCACTCCAGCAACTCCCTGAAGCCAGCAGCGCCCCACGCACTCCACAAAGCCACGCAGGTGAGCGGCTCCGCGCCGGCGTCCCCTCTGCTGCCTCCGGCCCGGAGCACGCGTACCACCTCCCAGGCTGGGCATGGGCCAGAGGGCAGGGGTCCTGTGTAGTGTGGAAAAGTATGAAATTTGATTTTGGGGGTTTCCATGTCGGGTAAGTATGGAAAAAGGAAAGAAGGCTTGGAAATATTTTGGTATTTTGAGACTATTGCAACAGATTGGTCAGCTATGTATGCTATATAAAATATTTAAATTTACTTTTTAACGTTTTTGATGAAATCACCAATGTATGCCGGTTGGCAGTGCCAGAATATGCTCATGGCGCACATTGATGAGCAATGAGAGAACTCCAGATTGGGGATGTGTCTCGGGGGGGGGGGGGGGGGGGGCGCTTGATTAATCCCCAGAAAAAAAAATTGATTGGGGCTAGTTTGCAGTTTACTTACAATAGAGAATTACATGTGTTCACCTGGTTGCCTTGCCAGTCACAAATATTGTAATTGGTTGGCTAAGGATGCTAAATGTGAATGGAATATGAACCCCCGGTTTAAACATTTAAAAATGGGAAGTAAGTAGGAACCATGGTAGAGGGAAAACACCAGCTAGCGTGCCAATCATTGTGCAGTAATGGTGAATAAGTGCTAACTTGTCCATTTAATATTGACCTTAGCAAGTCATGGCAACCCTACTGGCCAGGCTTCACCTTAAGCTTCTCCTGCAACTTCACCGCATGCTTTTTACTTTCCCTGTAGTCTGACCTAACAGTAGAGAAGCTAATTGCACTGGAAAACAACAAGAATTCGGACCTGGAGAAGAAAGAGGGGCGTATAGATGACCTCTTGCGGGTGAGACTGAAATCTTGCTCGTCTTTGGTTTTGGCTGTTTAGTTTTCCAAATGTCAGCTGCACTCGTTTATGTAAGGGTTAGTAAATATCTGTAGTGCCTGGTAACCAGGCCGTAATAGTGGCGCTCGTTTTCATTGCGTTGCCGTGCAACGTGGAGCGCATTCCTGCAGCCGCTGGCGTCTCCTCCGACAGGTAAACTGCGACCTGCGGCGGCAGCTAGACGAGCAGCAGCGCATGCTGGAGAGGTACAAAGAGCGACTGAACAAGTGCGTGACCATGAGCAAGAAGCTTCTGATCGAGAAGGTGAGGCCCCCCTGTCACACATCTGTCTCTGTCTCTGCGTTAGGAGAGAGTGTATCCAATCCAGCAGAGGTGATGTGAAGTGACATCATGACAAGGTGTTTGCTGCTGTGCCATCTACTGTCCTGGAAAATGTACGGCTAAGTCAGCAGTGCGTGTAGCTGTAATAGACATAGACTGGGAGAAGTCAGATTAGCTCAAGAATGGACTGTCTGCAATAATGTCATGATGACATTATGATATAATCATTATTAGGTTTCCTGTTTATAAGAGAAGATTGCGATGATCTGTCATTTCCAGTTCGGTATGTTCATTAACTGCTTCCGCAGCTAAAACCACAGTAACCTGGAGCCCATACCAGAACCTTGAATTGGATGCTAGTCCAGCACCTATGATGGCGACAGCAGTGGTTTGAGTTTAACCCAGCCATTAGGATTGTATATCCAAACCCAAGTTTGAGTATATGTTACAGCACATGATGTGATTAGCCTCAGGACTCGTGTGCCCCCAGTCCAAGCAGGAGAAGATGGCCTGCAGGGAGAAGAGCATGCAGGACCGCCTCCGGCTGGGCCACTTCACCACAGTACGGCACGGAGCCTCCTTCACTGAGCAATGGACCGACGGCTACGCCTTCCAGAACCTGATCAAGTGAGGCTGCCGCCCAGCTCCACTCCTCCTTACTCTTGGTCGTGGTCTCGTTGTCCTTCCTTCATTCCTGTTTGGAACACAAGTTCCCCTGATGCAGCGGTTCTCAATCCTGTTGCTGGAATGCCAGAATGTTTTCATTCCAATCCACATTGCTTTCAACCTGCCACATTCATTATTAGCCTATTAAGGACCATATAAGCCTGATTAAGGTAGGGTTGGAATAAAACATTCTGGCAGGTGGGGTGTGCCAAGACCAGGTCTGAGAACTACTGCTTTAATGGCTGTTGGTTGCATTTTGTATGTATTGTATTCCTCTTTAGTCAGTATTCAGAAATTCCAAAACATTACAGTATCTAAACACCATTTGTTTGACAACATCCATACCATTTAATAGGTGAGGCAGTCAGTTTTTTGTTGCTTGGAAATGGTAGTTCCTTGATCCTTAAATACTTTAAGAATTTTTTGTGTGCACGTGTGCGGTAATAGTGATTGGTGGATTTTTTTTTTCTTATTCACATTTTTTTGTTGAGATCTGAGGTGATATTTTGTTGCTGCATCCTCCCCACTTTACCACATGATGTCTTGTGCTTAATCTCACGTTAGTCTAAATGTGTGGAATATCTCTGCTCGCTGTTAATTTATCCCAGATCCCAGGAAAATGTTAGGCTTTCTCTTGGTTTTGTATCCCTCCTCCCCACTTCTCCAAAGCTGCCCTCTGTACCCTGACCTCCAAAAACCTCGAAAAACTGTCCACAAAAAGCTGGACCTTACTGTTCCTCTCTGCCTCCCCTCCCCTCATCCCCAGACAGCAAGAGAGGATCAACTCCCAGAGGGAGGACATTGAAAGGCAGCGGAAGCTCCTGGCCAAGCGGAAGCCTCCTGCGATGGGGCAGACTCCTCCCCCCAGCCTGGAACAGAACAAGCGCAAGAGCAAAGCCAACGGAGCAGAGAACGAGGCGTAGGGGCCCCTCCCTTTGTCACCTCCTGCTTGCTTTCACCGTCACCTCAGAATGCATTTCGCTTCAGATGTGTGCCCATAAGCACCTTAATCTCTGCCATGTCTACATCAGCATTCTTCAGTGAAGAAGCGTATAGAAGCTTGCATGCTTTCTGATCTCTTCAATCACGAGTTTCTCACATCTTTTTTTTTTTTTTTAAAAAAGCCTCTTTTTCCCGATAGAACTGTTTTTACGTTTGAGGGAACATGGGTATTTTAGTTCTAATTCCAAATAAATTTTTGCTGAGTTTACACTTTACACTTGCTTCGGCATATTCGGAACTGTCGCCATCCTACATGGCTACTGCCTGAAATACCTGGCTTTGTCTGTTTGTGATCAGTGCTTTCCTCGCCCACGCAGGTTGTCGCTTGCAGAGTATCATGAGCAGGAGGAAATCTTCAAGCTGAGGCTGGGTCACCTCAAGAAGGTGTGTCTCCCGGCTTGTCTCCTTTTTTTTATGACGCCTTCTTGTCAGGGTTCGGTGAAGATGTGAAGATTGCATCAGCAGAGCCACGTCTGTGACCTTCTCCGTAGCCTGTAGTCCATCCACCTGGAAGATCCTCTGGATTTCTTTACCTTTTTCTGTCCATCCACTCTGCTTTATTCTGTCTGCTTGTGGTTTTTGACCTGGTTACTTTCCTGCAGGAAGAAGCAGAGATCCAAGCAGAGCTGGAGAGGTTAGAGCGAGTAAGAAACCTTCACATCCGGGAACTGAAGCGGATACACAACGAGGATAACTCACAGTGGGTTCTGTCGCCTTCTCCGCACATTCTTACATAATCGGGGTTGGAAGTTTCTAGAATTTACATGACTTTGTTACACAAACATTTACTAATTTCCAGAATCAAAGGATGTATGTTTTCATTTACTACTTGAACATTTCATCCTTCTCACCCTTCTTACTAAGTACTAGGATCTTCTAATATTTTTTCCTAGATTCAAAGACCATCCCACGCTGAATGACCGGTACCTGCTCTTGCACTTGTTAGGCCGAGGCGGCTTTAGCGAAGTCTATAAGGTGAGGAGCTGTTGGGAACATCTGTAACTGTTGAAATGTATTGAACCACACACAGAATGTGCCGGTGTATTTGAGAAACTGCCGTTGCTCTACACTGTTAATGGAGATCACGCGTCATTCCCGCAGGCTTTCGACTTGACAGAGCAGAGATATGTGGCTGTTAAAATACACCAGCTGAACAAGAACTGGCGAGACGAGAAGAAGGAGAACTACCATAAGTGAGTGAATCGCTGTTGGCGTGGAGGCCTTGACTTAGTCACTCGTCTTAGAGTGACCTTCTGAGTAAGCAGTGGTGAAGACCCTTCCCTATACTGGGATCTGTAGATTTCTGTAGATGTGGCATGTCACATTTAAAGAAGCGATGGGTGGAGACTCTTGGGTGTTGTTTTTGTGAACATGTATGTTGATGTGTTTCAGGCACGCTTGTAGGGAATATCGAATCCACAAGGAGCTGGACCATCCTAGGATAGTCAAGCTCTACGACTACTTCTCCCTTGACACAGACTCGTAAGTCGCATAGGAAGATGGGCCTCGGAGCATCAGCTAACACAGAATTTAATCCCTGTCCATCATACCTCTGGAAATGAACTGGTTGTCATTCCTTCAGAAAAGGATGATGTTGAATTTTTTACATTTCTAAATTTCATAGTCCTGTTCCCACCATGTATGCAGGATTTTGCAGCTGAGCTCTAGTCTTGATGAATTCAAATGTCCTGGGGGAACAGATTCTTTCGTTTAATTCTTTCCTTTTTTTTTTTTTTGTTCCTCCAGTCAGGTAAAAGCTAATTTTTTAGTTCACTTTTACAGGTATTCCTCAGATATTTTGTTAAAATGTTGCAGAAATATTACATAAAGCAGTTTAAAAGTTAGTTAGTAGGAAAGCGCAGAAGTACATTTTTAAGGACAAAACAACTGCAGACCTCATTTACTCCTGGGGTGAAGTGGTACATCTACAGTCCTGAAGGGGTGGTGTGTTTCTGCTGGATACCACGTTTACCTCTGAACACACACAATGCACATTCATTATTTTAGTTAACAAATGCTTACTTAACAATTCCCAAAGGTGGAACAGGTGTTTCTGCTTTATTTGTCCATGCTTTAAATAGATGCGAGTATTTAACTCAGGAGAATTTTGTTAATGCGGTATTAAATATTGTCCCGTAGCCTGAAATCTTGCATATTGAATTTGAAGGTTTTGCACGGTGTTGGAGTTCTGCGAGGGGAACGACCTGGACTTCTACCTGAAGCAGCACAAGCTAATGTCGGAGAAGGAGGCCCGTTCCATCATCATGCAAGTCGTCAATGCACTCAAGTACCTCAATGACATCCGGCCACCCATCATCCACTACGACCTCAAGCCTGGTGAGTCGGGCTCTCAGTAGCTGCCAGCTCCATCCTCTCTTGAGTGTTGAATCTGACACATGAACATATTTAACACTCAAGTATGATTATACCATATAATGTGGTACCACAAAAGTCATTCAGCTGATCCTAATGGACTTGGTTCCATCTCTGAATCTAGCTGGGCTGCACCGTGCCTCTGCTGCTCATCAGATGGTTAAATACTGACTTTTTGATCATGACAGGTAACATCCTTCTAGTGAACGGTACAGCCTGCGGGGAGATCAAGATCACCGACTTTGGCCTCTCTAAGATAATGGACGACGACAGCTACAACTCTGTGGACGGGATGGAGCTGACATCACAAGGAGCAGGGACCTACTGGTAACCATGGCGCCACCGAACACCTCCCAACAAAACAAACAGGGCCAGTCAAGCCGTCACAAAGGGACTAGTTTGCCGTCAAGTTAGAAAACGGACCCAGGGTTTTGGGAGCGACCCTGGTAGCCGTTGTTTTACAATGGGACTGTGATGCTGGACCCAGGGCACACCCACCTCTGCCTATTTGCATCTCTGACGTGTTGCCACTCTGGGCAGCGGAGGTAATCCATGCCTCAAATGTGACATTCCAATCGTGCGCACAATCCTATTGGCTGGCAGTCTTGCTGATGTCATCTTTTGGCACCCTGCAGGTACCTCCCCCCAGAGTGCTTTGTGGTTGGGAAGGAGCCACCCAAAATCTCCAACAAGGTGGACGTCTGGTCGGTGGGGGTCATCTTTTACCAGAGCCTATATGGACGGAAGGTACTGGTGCCCTCATAGGGGTAAAACAGCAGCTCACACTCCCATATAATGGTTTGCCTGGTTTAATTTGTTTTGTTTCTGTCTTATAGCCATTTGGGCACAACCAGTCCCAGCAGGACATCTTGCAGGAGAATACCATACTCAAAGCCACTGAGGTTCAGTTTCCACCCAAACCGGTCGTCTCTCCCGAAGCCAAGGTATGCCGAGGGGATTGCACGTGCTGCACCAGACAGGCGAGGGGATTGCACGTGCTGCACCAGACAGGCGAGGGGATTGCACGTGCTGCACCAGACAGGCGTGCTCTCCGTTTAGCTCTTAACAGCCCTGCAATGTGAGCAAGATCTTCCAGCCCAGGGATGAGGAGCTTGCTCTCAGATTAGCATGTTAAATGCAAGAAAAAGGACACCAGTGCTAATCATCACTATTGCTAAGCCAGTAAAAATATACATGACAGAATTCTAGACAATTTAATACTTTAAGCAAGCAGTCAATTTGGATCTTTTTTTAAAATCAGTCTCGAAGAATACTTATAAGAATGCATGCTGAATAGCACCTCATTCTACACAAATGGCCAAGGGTCAAGGTTGTATTACATACAGTAAGCACTTCCATGGGAAAGTAAATGCGACTAACTTATTGCAAATGTAGAGGTTTGTCCATTTGGTTTTATCTCAATTGTTGGTGAGGGACCAACTATATTGATGCTTGGTTGTGGCATTTATACTAAAGCCTGGTTCATACTTTACTTTTCTGCGTGCACTTTCCGGCTGGGTACGGCCGTCCGCACGGCAGCTTATGTCCATACTACATTTGGCTGCGGATGCGGGTGGTTGCAGCCGGTGCATGCATACAGCAGTGATATTCCACCAGACCTGGAGAGGGCAGATGTATTGCAACAAACACAAATACAAGCAGTGTAATGATAGGGGTAAATTTTATGAACAGCTTTAAAGTTTTTAGTCAAGGCTTGGGCAGTATTACATTAATAAATCCTTATGACAAAATTAGCCAGTACCAACCCTCCCACCCGTTCGGCGAATATTTTCACCAAGATTTCAAAATGCCGGAATACTGCTGCTTTTTAAAATGCCGTATACCTTGGTATAATGTCTGGACATAATAAAAAATTTGATATGTAGGTACCTCCAACCATCCTCATACAGCTGCTCATCATAATTACACCAAGAACGACAGCTCTTCTTCCTCTACTCCTTCGTCGTTGACCGCTGATCTGTGAAAGTTGGCGCTGCCACTTACTGGAAATACTTATTCAATTATCTTACACACGCGCTGTCGAAATACAGGGACGCACATGGTTTGCGCTAGACACAAATCTGGGTTACATGTGCACCGACCGCAGCCATTCACAGCCAACCCCTGATGCCGAAATTGACCTCGCGTCCCCACGTCCGCACGTGGAAAAGAAGCATGCAGGTGAAAGTAAAGCGTAACCCGCTCTATTTTATACTGTACCACAATTGGACAAATGAGCCAGTGTTTGACATTACTGTGGTCAAAGTGTGTCTGTGTCTGTGTCTGTGCACGTATGCAGTCTGACGCTGTTCGTCGTCTTTGCCCCCCAGGCCTTTATCCGCCGATGCCTGGCCTACCGCAAGGAGGACCGCATCGACGTGCACCAGCTGGCCAGTGACCCCTTCCTGATGCCTCACATTCGCAAGTCGGTGGGCAGCACTGGGGCGACTGGGCCTGCCACGCCCTCCACCTCCAGCTCCTTTAACAGCAGCGCTTCAAACTGAGACTTCTGCCCTTCTGTCTGTCACCACCCACCCACCCCCTGCCACTTTGGCTGTTATGCTCGATGGGTGGGTGGGCTGCCCAGTGAGGACTCTCCCAGGATCCTGATGCCATGATCATAGGATGTGGCCATGCAGAGAAGAGGATGTGGGCCAGGGATGTGAACAGAGCCCTGAGCTCACATCTCTCACCCCCCCAATCTCCACCTCCTCTCGTCACCCCTTCTTCATCCTCGCCCCTGAAGTGAGACATTTTAGGGAGGATTTGAGAGCACACTGCTGGTGAATATGAGAAGGGCTTTTACTTTTATGTTAGGCATCCTTCAAGACATGACGTCAGAACCCAAAGTGCTCAGACAGCATCTGCGTCTAAGACTCCGCCAGCAGGTTCGTCTTATTGCAAGAGATTCGGTGGATCTTTTTTCCTCTCTGTCCACGATGAGCACAAATATCTTCATAAGAATTTGTCATCCTTCATTAAATGGTTCAATACCCAAACACTCAAAGCTTCTGTGTGCCCTTGACCTGTTCCAGTTGTCCCCCATTTTGGGCTCATATGGATGTCTTTCTTTTTGATGACCAAAGTTCAAGACTGCCTGTTGGTGGCACTGTTCTGTTGGTGTTTTGGGTTTATTTTTTTGTAATAGCGAGAAGTTGGAAACAGAGGTTCCTGTTTCTTAAAGTAACAATTTCAAGTAATTTAGTATTTTAACAGCTAATTGGACTTTTAACTGGTTTTTCAATCCATCTGTATTCAAAAATTTTCCTCCCCCATTTTATTTTTAAGTCCTTGGGGGATGCAATATCCAATGTCTACTGTGAGGTGGCGAGAGGGCCTTAGCAGAGAATTGCATATAAAACCATTAAATACTATTGTTTTGAAAATGGTGGGTTGCAGTTTTCTTTTCATCCCATTGTGCAGATGCAGTTCCAGGGTCTTGTACTTCCAGCACTTGACACTGTACCAATTATATCGCTGATAATACAGTATTATTCTGAGCTCTTGTTAGAGTAGTGTTATCCAGATTTGCCCGTTGTCAGATTCATAAGTTTCAAACGTAATTGACATCTCTTGGGTGAAAGGCTGCAGCACTCAGCATTCAATTGCACCAAATTGCAGTTGATACCGTATTTTTATGTGTGTTTGGAGTTTTATAGTGATCCTGAAGTAACTCCCAGCTTCTGAAGTGGTGCTTCATTTGGCTGTAGAAAGCTGTGATCAGACACGCTAGTCTGTCTATGGTGCCTTGCTAGTTTACTGGAAGCAGTTGCAAACGTTACAGTCCATTTTCATAGCAGACCTCATGATATATCAAGTTATTCCACTGGGACATTAATAAATCTAATTTGATTGTGCACAGTTATCATTCCAAACCACCAACTATTTTACACTTGTGCACCGTTTGTCTGTTGAAATGGATTTAGTCATAAATTTATAGTGGGGATATTTGGCTTCATGGCAGCAGTTGAATAGAAACCGATGCTATAGTTTATACCGCAGGGCTGGAAGTGCTTGTCTAAACTGCATCATCTAATTCCCGAGAGAGACTGTAGGTGGACAGCGTGGTGGTGCCATACACCACTGTCGCCTCACACCTCTGGGACCTGGGTTCGAGTCTCGGCCAGGGTTCCATGTGTGTGGAGTTTGCATGTTGTCATCGTGGGGTCTCTTCCAGGTACTCTGGTTTCCCCCCACAGTCCAAAAACATGCAGAGGCTAATTGGAGTTGCCAAATTGCATGTGTGTATGTTGTATGTCTGTGTGTATGTTGTATGTATGTCCTATGATGGGTTGGCACCCCATCTTGGGCTGTTCCCTGCCTTGTGCCAATCGCCTCCAGGATAGGCTCCAGACCCCCCCTGAATAGGACAAGCGGTTTCAGGAAATGGATGGAGGGATGGACTCTGTAGACTTCTTGAGCTTTTAACTGACAAGATAATTCTGGATTTCCACTGACAGTCATAATGGCATTGATCCCATGACCCTGAAAGTGAGGCCACAAGGTTTCCCATTACGCTGCCACATAGCGGAGAGATCCTCTACGTAAAACCCTTTCTAACATCCAACCCTCCACTCTAATGCACCTACAAGTACTGTGGTTCCAGGATTTTACAGCCAGCCTTTTCCAAAGAAATGTTGCTACTTTTTTTGTCCAGATGTCAAATTTTCCCACCCACACAGGAATTCACCCATTCCAGCTGTTATTTAGCACCAGTGAGTCCAGAAAATAATGTTGCTGGGAAAGTATCCCAGGCCTCAATTAAGCATAACTTGCCTCCATATAATGTCTTTGACCTTTATAAAGCATTTTCCCACGCTTTGTTTTTTTCACTTTACAACTCATGGTGTGCTTTTAGCACATTGATGGGTTGAAAGTATTCACACTGAATGTAGTGTATAGTGCTGCGGAATCTACCAAGGCTCCTCTGGTCAGCAAAATGGGAACCCAGTATTTCTAGCTACTCTCCAGCTAGGCTGGTACCAATATGTGTGCACCTACAAAATAGAACAGAAATAGAGAAACTGGAAGAAAATCCTCTTAGTTAATATTGGTATATAAATATAAATTATTTATTCAAACACCTACAAGGTGATCAAAACAGCAGAATATAAGTAATTCAGAGCATTTAAAAGTCAATTTAAACGTTTTCCTTATTAACACCCAGCATACAGGTAATAAGCTCTTCTCAATGCTACCTGGATAACATATTAAACATAATTTTTGTCATCTAGTGATACTACTTTAAAATAAAGTTTACAGTTACAATATTTAGATACTTCATCAAAAGATATACTTAAATACCTTCATAATGCATTATAATGGTCAGTATAAGCCATTATAACACATTATGAAGGTATTTATAGTACATTATAGATGATTCGTAATGCATAATAAACGGCTATAATGTGTTATGCCTGTTTATAAATAGTTATAGTCGTGTTTATAATACTTCATGAATGCATCTGTTACGTGTGAAGCCCGTAGCTGCGCTCGTTGTGCGGGTGTGTGTGTCTGCGTCTGCTGTGCATGCATGCCTCCTTTTCATGAATAACGCATTATGAGGGTATCTATTATGCATTATTCATGAGTGCTTTAAGTAAAGTGCTACCAGATATTTTATTTATACTTTACCATTTTATCAAATAAAATGCTGGCCCAGATTACCTTAGTTACCCGTAGGTAACAATATTTGTTGATCAAGAATCTGCAGGTCTTATATTTTCCATTTTAACTACGGATTCCAATTAGTACAATGGTACTTTTTGTTGTTTTGCCAAAGAGGAAATATGTTGTTTTGCTATCTGCAAATTAACATGCATAACATCACTTCGGAGGCACTGAAGTGAAACAACTGACGATTAAGTTTGGGAGGGAGGTTCTGTCTCTGGTTATTCCTCCCTTATGTTTCTAAATAGCAAACTACCTTTGCTCACAACCCTTAAATGGTATAATTGCATCTGTAAGGTATTTGGTGCTGCAGTTATTAGTTTTAGCAGCAGTACTTGCTGTCAAGTCCATGATGCTTTCTGATGACCTACAATCTGCTTATTTGTAGTTCAGGTTAAAGGTCTGTCTTAATTTATCCAAGAATCCACTTCTTCACTTTCCTTGCAGTCCATGGTATTCTTAAACATCTTTGCCAGCAAAGATGTTCAAAGGAATTAATACTCTTTATTTACTGCTTTTTCATTACAGTCATTTTATCCATAACAATTCACAGCAAATACATTCTGAACAATTCTGACCATTATCCTTAAAAGACAGTATTTTTCTCTAAGTCTTTTACTGCCAAGTGCTAGTCTGCAACACAATTCTGTTCTCAAATTACTGTTGGATCTTTTGTTGTTGATGATTCTTCCAAGTAGGCAGAAACTGCCTATAATGTCTCAGAAATGCATCAGAAATTATGTTTCCTGTTCTACCACCTTTCCTTCTACAGCGGGACATTAATGGTTTTTATTTGAAACAATGGACGCTGTATTTGATACATAAAAATTGATAACATTTGTCTTGTGGGCACTTAAGCACAGTGCACATGGCTTCTTGTGGGCGTGGCTTAGTGCTGAATCCTTGGCCTTTACGCTCCAGGACTTACCTATGACACTCAGGAACTCACATGCTGCCAAGCAGCTAAGAATGGTGATTTGTCCCCATAAGATGCTTTTCACAAAGGCAACAATGTTTGAAATGCAAAGTAATGACAACAGAGCAACACTTGGAAAACACTGATTTAATTCAGAGCAGTAAAACAGGAAATTCCAAAATAAAGTGCAAATGACAGACAGAGCAGTAAAATTATAAACAAGGTGAAAACAAATCAATATAAAATATAAACGTGCAGACTTTAAAGTGGCACTAATAAATGAATAGTAAAAGTTTGCCATTTCAGAGAAAGGTACTTCATCCTTCAGTGTTGTTTGTAAGCATTCTGGATTAGGAACCTGATGCCCTAATTCATTTAATACCAACCAGCAAGAGAGCAGGATTTTTTTTGTTTTTATATAGAAACCATTTGATCTTTTGTGTGCAGTCGGAGGATAATGCTTTTTGCATTTTCCAAGCTCCCCCTTCATCCACAGCATGTTATGAACAGTGTGTCTGTGTGCAGCACACTACAGAGCTTTGACTGCCAACTGAGATGCTGAGCTGAGTAATGCTTGTCCCTCCCCTCCTGAACAGCCAGGGGGCCACAGCAGCCGTCCTGATGCCAGTGCTGGGCATCCTGACCAGTTTTGGTGGCTTCCATTCACTTCATGTTGATAGTTGAACTGTAACCTTCACTGTCAGAATTATTAGAATATGTCAGAATTACACCAGGAGAGGTGACCACGAGCTACAAAGTAAAACAAGGGTTTACAGTTGATGAAATGAAATGGTCGAATTATAAACTTTGTGGTAGAATTATGAATAATTAAGGTTTAATTAAAAACTTCACAGGTTTGCTTTGAACTTCACAGGTTTGCTTTGAACTTCACAGGTTTGCTTTGAACTTCACAGTGCATTTTTTTCCTGGAGGAGTTTTGATTTGTCATTTATTTCCCCATCTTTTTGCTGCCTGTCCTGTCATGTGCTGTATTGTAGGGGTTCCCAGCCTTTCGATGACCCTGGTTTACGTCGTACAGCCCCCAGCGTCCTGCTGTCACTTGGGATACCGCAGACCGGGGATTAGGAAACCCTACTGTACTGCACTACTGTTTGTTCTGTCCTCTCCAAGACCCTCCCCTCAAATGTGGCACAAGAATTTCACTGTGCTCCCCAAATACATGCAACAATAAAAACCTTAAACTTGAATTAAAAAAACTTAAGGTTTGATGCGCTCCACTCTGTAATGTCACTTACTTATATTATGAAGACAGAAGCCAGAAAGATTTGAAGATGATATCACTCTTGATGTTAAAGAGATGTTTTAAAATGTTGAAGTTAATACTGTAACTGTGGAAATTGGTGTGTGGATGGCAGCAAACCAACCAACACGACATTCATGGCTGCCCCAGCAGGTGGCCCACAGCACAATGGCTGCATCAGCATTGACCGGGAGAATGACCACATGTAGTGAGCAGTATATTTTCTGAGTTGCACTGGCAGCCAGGCCAGTTTGCAGGCAACTCCTGGACTGAAACTTGTGCCTGTCTGTGAACTGTGGGGATTGGATCTGCTTAGTGTCACCGACATTCACAAGTGGGCCGACTTCAATGGTGAGTTGCAGACGTACACAAACATCTATGGGATCATGCAAACGCTCCCTGGTGTCCTCTGAATGTGTGAACATCCTGACAATGTCCCCAAAACATCACTGGGGGCTGGGAGTGGGTGGACACCTCGCTATACAAGTTCCCCAGTTGCCCTGTCAGAGTGCAGGAGGTGAAGGGTGAGGAGTCTCTAC